GGTCGGGGGAGGACGATGTTGTTATGGGATGTTAGGGAGAAATGTGTCATCACACTCTTAGATGGAGGGGCCTCTCTATCCTCTATCCTTGGCCTCAGGCAGCAGCTTGCATCACAGCGATTAGCTCCCAAACACAGACAATAACACTAGCAGCCACATCGTCATAATCGCCATTATCTCTCCCCACCACCACCGCCGCCACCACCGCCGCCACCACCACCGCAAAACATGGCAGGCACTCATTTCTGGAAGCTTCCGCCCTCTTTTATGCAACTACAGATGAGCTGTCTGCCTATAAACAGTTAGAAAAATGAAATAGCGCTGCGTATGAATTGTCCTCTTTTACATTATCATACCAACAATAAGGCGTTCTGTGCTTCAGCCGTGGTTCATCCTCCTTTGTTTCATCCCTCCTCCTCTTCTCCCCTCTCTCCTCCTTTCTCCCACCCCCCTCTGAAATGATTTACACTGCTACAATTATTGGGTAATCTCCACTGTCATTACTCTTAACATCTGCTCTGTCACAATGCTAAGGGCTTTTGGCTGTGCTCTGCGACAGTTATTCTATGTGCTTACAATCCTGTGATGCAGACAGACCCCCCCCCCCCAACCCCCCCACTCCTCCTTTATCCACTGCTCTCTGTATGTGCTATCTGCATTACAGAGAGGAAATGGCTTTTATATGAGTGGGAGCAGTATGATGGGACGATTTGTTCGTGCTGGTGTGCGAGTGAGTGAATCCGATTGGAGAGGTGGGCCGAGCCGACAGGCGCTGCTGAGGTATCTGAAGGTCAAAGGTCGGCAGATGATCTTGAGTCAGAAGTCAAACATCAGCTGAGGGGAAACCTTTCCGTATCAGATCCCACAGAGTATGCAAAACTACCACCCACCATCCATCGTGATTTCCTCTTATGCATACACCCGTTCTCCCTCACGTGTTTCTGTCTGTCTGTCTCTCTGAATGAATAACAAGCAACCACCCAGCAGACAGGCAGTTAAGCAGGCTAACCTTTAGCGAGCCGGGAGAGGAACATTCAGAGATTTCCATCAGATTACCCTCTCCAGTTTCCATTGTGTGTGTTGGCCCCCTCCGTGGTATTCCCCCCCTCCCACCCCCCTCACAGAGCAAATTGGAACCATTTGGTATTCAGATAACAGCAAACAGCTCAGATCTGCTGGAACAATAAGCGGTTTCCAACCAATCGCCCACCTGGACTGAGCTGTGTTAAGACAGTCTTGATAGTTCTTTCACCACCACTCGATTGCCAGTGTGGGTTTCTTTTCTTTTTTTCTTCCAGCAGCTAGCGTTTCTAAAGCCTCCCTTCTGATTCTAGTTTTACCTCCCTCTCTCCCCTTGCTGCTGATTGACCTTCAGTTTCTTCACAAATCAGATATCACTCAAGAGTGCCATACAAGATGAATTCGGTCTAGTGGATGTCACAACCTGGCAAGTGTTACGACTCTCAGTCTGTTGGAGTTCTCTATGCACCGAGGCAGTTGTCTGTGAGCGTACGTTTGTGTATACACTCTCTGTGCTTCACCCCAGCGAGAGGAGTGTAATGACATGGGCCCAATACTGTGTGATTGAGATGGATGCCCTGTTTTATTATCTGTGTTTTGTATGTATGTGTATGTGTGCGTGTACTCCCAGAGTGCTGAGGGAACACATTGTGACCCTAGTTGTATTTGGCCACCAGAGGCCATGCTGGCAAAGGCTGAAATGATGATTAAGGACAGGGGGGCTGGATGAGAAAATGTGGATTAATGAAGCTCAGATAGAATTAATAGCCATGACATCCCACAACAGCGCAGCCGCTAAATGAGAATATGTCGTGGGTCCGCCGGAGTCTCAACGCTTGTTTTCGCTTTCAAGGTGATGGTAGGAGGAAAGAGGGGGAAAGTTGCATCTCTGGGCTGACTTACCTAACTTGCTCACACTTGACAACAGAAAAAGTAAAAGAAGTGTTTCTCACAGGCGGAGGATTTAGTTCTGGAGGTCCCATGTCAGTATCCCTTGGAATTACATTCATAATGGACCATTTTGTGGAGTCAGTGCAGGAAGCAGCGTGCCCTTAGTGATTCTGAAACCAAGGTTGTGGCAGTTATGCTGGTGGATGGGTGTGTAGAGCCTCAAACTTGCTTTGTCACAGTGAAACAAGTCATTTTGTTTTTTTCCTTTGTCTGTATCTTTCCCATAAAAGTAATGATGTCATCAGTTTAATGTATTTAGAAGGAGGTATCCTAAGTGTGATGGAAAAAACAGCCGTTTGGTTTAATAAGTAGGGCAAAAAGGCGGAGTTGTTGAAAACATTGTGATCAGTTTGTTGGTTGGACTTCTTCATCTACACCTACAAGTGCAGCCGAGGTTTCCACTCATGATGCGCTTTTTCCAGGAAGTTTAAGTAGGCTCTTTAACCAAATGGTTTAGCTGCATAACATTAGTCATATCTTACAGCTGACATAGGCTTCCCTTGGCACGGATGCGGCGTGACACGTCTGCTGCTGCATGCTGCAGTGGATGTGTAGCCCCGCCCGTTATAATCAACTGAAACTGGTACAGTAATCACGAAAGCCATGCTCTCTCTATTTATTTGTGTGCAGCTGGTTTGTTTTTTCTTTACATGTGGCTTTGCCCTTTATCAGGTAAAAACTACACAGAACTGTGTACAAGAAAACCAAATCTGTTTAAAATGAATACATTATACGAAAGGCAAGGCGACTCAGCAGAGCAACCTTGTGGTGGTTTGACAATTCATATCAATGTATCCTCTTGTTAAAATGATCTAATTAATTAATTCAATACACGTTAATAAAGCCTATGCTTCCAAACCCTGCATAACCAACTGCATTGTCACTTGGCAAAACTAAATATACACACAGTGAAGCTGACATGTAACCACTTGCTACAAAGACAGATGCTGTGTCTCAAATCGCGTACTTCTGTACTTACACTTACTATTTTGAGCATATAAGTGCGTTCACACTGAGAAGTATGGAAAAATGCAGTGCACTATGAGTACCCGGATGGTGCACTCAAAACGGTCAAGAAATTGAGCGTGGAACTATGGACACTTCTCGCCCTCAATGGTCGCCATCTTGGCTACATTGCGGAAGGGGTGGGACCACTTTTCAAACTGGAAATAGCGGCTGAGGACTGTGCGACCGTGAACGTCGCTGCATTGTACAAATACATGTGATTTTTTTGCACTAAGCACCACTATACTGTTGTCGGGTATAAGTAAGCAGTATGTTTGTTGGGTTAATTTAGCAGATAAGGCGAATGCTAATGCTAGTTTGTTAACAAGCTAATTTGCTGTCGTTTCCGGTGAGTGCACAACGGCCTTGTTTGGTTTGAGACAACACTACCCTGTTGAAATTTGCGCACTATGCCAATGAGTACATAGTGCACACAGTATACATAGAAGTATACCAACGGAAGTATGTGATTTGAGACACACCAAGAGTCTATATAGCAGGTAAAAACCCTGCTCCGCCCTGCCTACTTGGTGTGTTGTGTCCATACCCCACCTATTTTGGCTTCCTACCCTTACCTATACAGGAAATTTGTAGTATTGACTCACAAGAGACTTTTAAAAAATGAATGTCCATAATTGAAGTAGCAGAAGCCCGGATATCCTGACTTTAAGTCTCTTGTATCGGTTTAAAATCCCACCAGGATCCTTTAATGCAACCCAGTAGCTACCTTAAAGCCCAAGCTGAGATAACTCTAATGACAACTCCCTCCAGAGGCAGACATTACACAGCTGTTTTAACAAGCTTAGTAGTACTAACCATGATGAGGAAACAAGATTGTGTATGTGAAATTGGTTGAGTGCCCCTTTAACCACGCAGAAATATCCAGTTAAGTTCTGTCCTCGGCTCACACCTCACCAGGAACTCTAGCATCTGACACTTTAACACTGGCCACAAAACAGCATTGCAGTCATGAGATAACTTCTAATTAGCGAAGTCACATTCCCATTATATACAGTACATAAGCACATTCATGAGGTTTTCAAAATTTCAGCACTCTCAGTCGCAACTTCCACATTTTTCCTCTTAAAGAGAAAAGGATAAGTTAAAATTGGATATACGTAATATATAGATTAGATTCAGTATATAGCAAACATGCAAAAAACAAACAAGGAAAAGAGTGTTAGTGTTTGGCTGCAGCCTGTTTGTCTCTCAGACCCTCAGATGTTTTTAGCAGCAGCTGCAAAGAGTACAGATTCAACCCCATGAAGTTTTAGTTTGGCTGTTTGAGGATAACAGTTGCTGGACCGACTTGTCTTCGCTTTGATTTCACCACCTGGTTCGTTGTTCAGTTGGTGGTCTTTCACTTCTACCTCCTGCGGGCTACAAACATCCCGGCTTGTGTGTGTGCGCACCGCTCGCATGCACACACACTCACACACACACCTGGACAACTTATTAGCATGTTAAGTCAGGAACCGGAGAATGGTTTGGCTCCAGGTGGTGATCAGTCATTAATGTCTGATCAGCTCTGCAGGTAAATGTTTACCTCAGACAGGTTAGACATTACAAGAGCCTGGAGGCTAGGATGAGTAAGACTCGACTCAAAGTGTTTGTAACAGTTTGTAACTATTTGTAACTGTGACACACGATAACGACTTATGTGTTTCTTTAAGAACTGGAAGAAATGCAAACAAGGAAAGTGAGAGTTAAGATGCTCCAGATAAACTTAAAGTGAGGTAATTGGTAAGATGTTGTGAAAAATGTGTAAAACTCGAGGAAACTGCTCTGCCTAACTTTTTTTTTCTTGTAGTAACTTGATAGTACAGCACATAGTTTGGTGGAAAAGAGTAATGTAGAGAAAACACAACAGGGGAAAGGGGGTGGCGGTTCATGGAGTTCACTCCAGAGCATCTCACTTTCTATCAAAACATCTCAGTGTGTTTCTTCTTATTCAAAGTCAGAGGGGAGACCACTGAGAGTGAAAGAGAGAGTCCACTAACACACTGTGCTTTATTCTGATACAGAAGATCCCGTCGAACCTGGACTGATCGGCTGCTCAGAAAACACGAACCTACAGTGTGTGCTGCAGTGAAGGTAGACACATTTAAAAATACTATAATAACACTTCTGGGGAAAGTTTATGACACATCTGACATGAACTCCTGATGATCCTGTCTCTATAGGCGACAACAAAAGGCGTCAGTCACCCTATCTCTGCCAAAACACAGGTGACGACAGGTAGGTGTCATCTTGTTCCCCTTCCTCTCTTCATCTCGAGGGGATTATAGTCGACTAACACCGAACTGAAGACTAAAAGTAAGTGTGAAAAAACATTTTAGCAAACTGAAATACAATTTAAAAACTCTATTTTTCAAAAAATAAAACAACAAAAACCAAGTGTTATGATATTTTGTACTTAGAAAGCTAACTAAAATACGATTCATATATACAGGAAATGTCTCAAGTGTTTGTCAATATCTTTAAATGTGTCAACACAACAAACATGAGGAGGCTTGGAGCATAGTGTAGGTCTATTGGGACTAGGATGTGTACTTGTCTACTTACTATTGTAATACCTATTCTGAACTATTAAATCTTTCCTTGGAAAAATACTCTGTCCCATTATTATGAAAAAACAAGTCTTAAAACTAAGACCATGTTTACACGAAAACGATCCACTGAAAACAGAATTGTTTCTCATTTTCGTTTTGAAAAAAGTTCTGCATTTAGACGACAACGTTTTGATAACAATCTCCGTGCACACGCATCCGCAAAAATGACCAAAAACGCTGCAGTATACATGTCAGGCCAGTAGTTGGCGCTGGACGCTTACGCTTCCTTCTACAGAGCGGCGATGTATAAACAAACAAAATGGCAACCGCACGAACGTTTGTCTGGACGGACAACGAGGTGGAGTTGCTACAGTAAATCTACACTACGATGGGGAAACGTTGATAAATTCAATAGGGTGAGCAGCACAAGCAGAGTTCGGCCTTGTGCATGCCTAGTGACTGGAACCGCAATGCGCATGTGCGAAAAGTCTGTTTTCAGAGCAACTGCATATTGCAAGTTTACATGACAACAGAGATGGTGCTGTTTCCAAAAAATTGCACTCTGGAACCCGTTTTCAAAACGTTGCGCTTCCAGGCACCCAAAACGCCGCTGTCGTGTAAACGAACGGCCAAAACGCAACTAAAGTTTACCGTTTTCAGTTGAAATCTTTGTCGTATAAACGGGACCTAATACTGAAACCAGTAAAAACTAAAATATTAAAGAATTGAATAAATAAAATAATCTGAAACAAACAAACCCAAATTAAAAACAAAAATTAAAAATGTAATAAAAATTCAAACTGTAATAACTCTACTAATCCCTACCTACTGTCAATTTTTTCAAATGAACTCTTCACACTCAAGTATGAGCCCTCATTACACCACCTTGCTGCTCCCTCCTTAAGTATCTGGAGCTGTGACTGGGGTTAATACCGACCCAGGGCGGGACGAGGGGGGAGAAAACTCTGGGAATGAGTGTAACGAGAGAGAACACACTAGACTGAAAGGGAAACTGAGATAGTGAGCATTGACAGGATTGAGCTCCCAGGTGGGGTGTCACCCTCAGGGGAGGCAACAGTTGCTGACAAAGCTGTGTGTGTGTGTGTGTGTGTGTGTGTGTGTGTGTGTGTGAGTCACATGAGAAGGTCTTGGCAGGAGAATTTCCTCGAGTTCTCTCTCTTTACAAATGAAGATTATTTGGTTGTTGCTCATTAGACGACACCACAGGTTTGGGGTGATGACAATTTGACACGTGGTAAGCGTCGCAGGGATTCAAGCTGTGGTCACTGTTGCAGAAATAATGTGCAAGTGAGATGAAAATATATAGAAGTAAATATTAAAGGGCTTTTTCAGAAATAAATGCTCACTCAACTTTGAAAAAAAAAATAAAACATTTGCAACTTTGACCAGCCTGGTTTTTTTTTTGTATTTAATTTTTTTTTTACAGTTGCTTTAGTCACGCAGCGAGTGTTGTTGACTTTGCCGCTACCTTCCCATTGTGAAAGGGTGACCTTCCTCTTTCTCCCACTCTCTGTTCTGCTCAGCTCCGTACATCTGTGTCTGTTTACCAGCCTGCCTGTGTCTCCCTCAATCTGAACTGATGAGTGCAACTCACAGCTGCTCCTCTCTTGTTTCCCGCTGCTTGGGTTGTGTGTGTGTGTGTGTGTGGTGTCTTTGTGCTCGGCGGTGACAGCGCCATGCTCCCAAATCAAAGACGACTGGCTCGCTACCACAACACACCTCTGATCGCAGAAACAAGAAAAGTTTAGATAAAAGGAGTTAACATGGGTTTATATTCTGCTTTGATCCCTCTGATTTCTTTCTATACACCAAGCACACGTGTAGATGCTGTATGTGCATGTTCGTGCACAACTCATAGCCACATCCACCTGTGTCACCTGAACCTTTTGACCTGCGTTCCTCTCGTGTCTCTCCTTCATGTTTTATCTCTGTGTTTTGTCATTTCCTGCTCTGCTTTTAGCAAAATGACAAAAATCTTCACAGCTGCCTGGTCGTTTGTCAGAGTGGTGTTAGTGTGCGGCTGCACAGCCTCCACACTTCAAACATAAAGATGACAGAAGACGATAGTGTGGCGTTTAGGGTAAATGGGGTGTTAAATTAATTTAAAGGTGTATTTGAGGGAGCTGATGCTCACTAGTGGTGAATAATGGGAACAGTAAGTGTATGGTTTCAGGGAGGGCGGCGAGAGGTGAAGCAGAGGGAGGTTAAGAAGTGAGTTTGACTTGAGGGGTGTATGGGATACCCTTGAGAGCATGACATCATCAGGACAGGTGGTGTTTTCTGTTGTCCTGAAGTTAGGGCGAGGGCGTAGAGAGGTTTTCTGACTGTCAGCCTGAACCTGTCGGACCTGTTTTGGACCCTCAGGACCACTTCTCACCCCAGGTGGCAACTGAGTGGGAAGGTGGTGAGATTGAAACCTGAGGAATAAAGAATTCAGGGTGACTCATCGTACAGTAGCTACACCACGTGAATTCCCACCATTGTTTTGCTCCTTCCTTTCTTTTCACTTTTGATTTGACATTCTTTTAGATGACAACCTGGGACTTTTTACATACATTGTTACATGCAAATTAGGTGTTTATTTGATATTTAGTTTTTTATTCATTTTACAGTTTAAATGTTCATTAACTGTCCCCTGTAAATTAACTGAAACAAACACTAAACAGATCAAGAAGAATTTCTATTATAATCTTTTTGTTTGTTTTTTTAGTTTGCAGAACTAGTGTTTCTCTAATGGTGTGCCATGATGCAAATCCAGGTGTGCTGTGGGATTTGGTGATAACCACACATTATTATTGCAGTATTCAACTTGGCCTACACAAAAAGTTAGGAATGAATTTTTAATTAACTATATCAGTATAAAGAGGCAAACTCTACCTAAGAAATGTCATTCTTTTTTTAATTTAAAAAAACTTCACAGGGAACCTATTTGTCACCATTCATGCGAGGAGAATTTTAAGTGTGTGACACATCATGTTGTCTTAAATTGTAATTCATTATTTCTCATTTAAATGGATGTGTTATTGGTGCTTTGATGAAATTTAAAACGTTTAAAATGAACTCTTGAATCATTTTTTTTAATATTTCAAGAGTAATAGTTGGTTGTCAATTGTTATTTGATTTTAGTAAATAAAAACAAACGTTTATGCTGTGATAAGAGTGATCTCACACATTTTAGGGGCTGTTGTGTACAGATATAAATACAGGTGTGCCTTGAGATTTTGGCTTGTCCTTTGGTGTGCCTTGTCTAATACTCATTAGACTACTCTTTGATTGTCATAATTAGAATTGAACAGTTTGGTAGATAAATAGATAGGTCAATCAGCAGGCAATTAATCAAGTATTCTGATAACATTTTTTAAATTTTACTTTATTATCAGAATATTTTCCAAAGTTTGACTTGCATCCCAAATATTGTCAAAAAATATTGATTTGTTGATACATATTATTTTTGAATATTTGAAACAGTTTCAATCCTAATTTTTCATACCAGTTGATCTTTCTCGTCTTCCTTTATTGATAATGTTTACTACAGTCCTTCTGTTCTCTGCTACCAAGAAAAGTGGGTGTTGTCATGTTATAGCCTTGTTATTTTTACCATTTATAAAATAATTAAATTTTATTCCCTCAATGTCAATTTTCCCAAGCTATTGAAAAGGATATTGAAAATTGCTATATTTCAAGGTATTGTATCACAGTTATATACAACAGTATCGTGACATCACTAATCTCATGACATACACTGTTTTACATAGATGCACAGACATACAAAAATATAAAACACAATACTGAACCAAATGACAAAGCCACACTACAAATGCTGCACAACACATCTGACATTACCAAAGGTGGATGCAGTGCAAACAATTTAATGATTCCCCATTACATTTGACCCAGATACAGCGAGGCCTGCTTACCCAAACTCTGATTAAATAGTTTGACAGACTGAGGAACAAAAGAGTTCCTGCACCTGTTCAGTCGATCCTGTGAGACTCTGAATCTACTGTGTGATGGCAAAAGCTGATATTCTTCAAAAATGTGAGAGGAGTCTGTTGCAATATAACCAGCCAGAGACAGTAAGTTTTTTGATGACTGATGAGTCTGTTAAGTATTTTCTTTTAGCAGAAACACCAAACATTAGCAAGTGAATTGTGATGGTTGTACTTACGTGACAGTGAACTGAGTATCTTTGGGTTTAAGGCTGTTGGTTTAACACAAGGAGCAATTTGATTTGAGTGACTGGAAACAGTAGCTAGTTGCATCCCTATTCACAATGTTTGATCATTAAAGAATAGTTCACTGCTGGAAAGATGGTCTTTTCATAAGACTGGGCTGTTTATGCAGTGGAAAGACACTAATGCTTTTGAAATTAGAGCTATATGACCAGAGAAAGTAGAGGAAAAGGGCTGTGGCATTCGCTTTTACTCAAGAGATGGAAGACCTACAACTACCAGAATGGACTGCACTGCACCGGACCAATAAACATTCCTGCTAGTGGTAACATAATGCAAGCTTGGCTGTTTTGACACAGGAAACAATATGGTGGCCGGCTGGTAACGAACAATTTCAAATAACAGTATAATCTTAAGCTACAATATGTCTCCAAAACCTGTGAGGCAAAACATATAGAACGAAGTAGCAGAATCTTCGTTTATATTTGATCAG